AAATTTGGCTTCTTAACTTCTGTACAAATTGATGTTATCTAACCTCATCTGAGCCTTCACTACAGCTTGGAAATCTTTTCATTGATGTCTAATTGGCTCCTTAACACATTTTCCACAGTGCTCATTTCAAAGCTTTTCAAATCTCCTGTCCTCTCAACGTGACCTCACCTATTCACTCAGCACAAATCAGCATCTCCTACTCAATGGAAAAATTCCTCCACTTCGAAATTTATCTTATCTGCTATTTCCTTCACACCTCAGAAGACAGGGGTCATTTTACTATCTCAAAAATATCCTGGTTTAGTGGAAATAAGCCTGACTTATTTTATCACACATATGCCACTATCTACCTCTATCACTATGGGCAAGGCAATTAATTCACCTGGTCCTTGATTTTTTTCATCTGTAAAATTAATGCCTTGGACTAGGTGAATTCTAAGGCCACTTTCAGTACTAAATCAAGGCTTTTTTCATCTTACGTCTAATCTTATGCCTTTCTATCCCCCAGGACCTCTTCCTTTCATTCAGCCTACATACACTGAATACAAATGAGGCAGAAGATACTTTCTCTTTACTAATCTCCACTTACCAACTTGATTCTTCCTATCCTAGACATTCTGGGGACTTTATTTTAAAACATCCTTCTTCATTACTATTAACATGAGTTAATAATATTTTCACTGTTTCTCAATCAGACTTTCTCAGGCTGTGGATAATAGCTGAAGACTCTACTTTCTTGCCACTGATTTTGTTTTGCATCTTCCAATTGGGCTCCTGCTTCCAGTACTTTGTCAAAAAGTTGTGGCAAAGGACAAGGGATTTTTCCTCCTTGCCTATCTTACATGAATTATCCTGGACACAAAACACCATCTTTAAACTTTCTTCTCACTTTCCTCTTGGTTCTCTTTTAAGGCTCTGGTCACCTCTTTTCTTTTTCTACTTTTATTTTCCCTGCTTAATCTCTGTCCTAAATGGGAGTATTCATCAGAGGTCTATCTTGGTCTTCTTTCTAATTTTTCTTCTATTGCAACTCTCATTCATTCTTGGGATCCCAATCGTTATATTGATGTGAATTACAAAAATATTTTCCACTGAATTCCTTTCCAGGATGCTGAACATCTCTATGGGTGTCTCACCAATTTGAAAGTATGCTGAAAATAAAATTCATCTTTATATTTCAATAGCCACCTAGGGGGAAAAAAAAGGAAAACACAAGCTGCCCCTGCCCCAATCGTCTATCTTCCTGTTAATGATATAAATTACTTTCTAGTGACTGGAATTGACATGTCATGAAGAAGAGAAGCCATTAACATTAGGGACTATATTGTCCTCTGATTACACATCTTTAATAGAGCTAGTTTTTCATTTGGCAAATGTCTCAATGCTCTGAAAGACATAAAAGTTATCATCTCTTAATAATTACTGAAGGCTGTGATGTAGATATGGAATATTAGGAATACTTTTTCCCTTTTTACATCATAACAGAAGTGCAACTCATGAACTGAATTATCCCTATTTGCTTTCCCAGTTCTATAGTATACTGCTGTGAGGTGATATAAAGAACTTAGCTTCTGAGAAAATCCAAAGCTTTTATTTCAACTGGATTTAAAAAGAGAGGGAAAAAGGAAAGAAAACATAAACTCACACTTTATCTGTTCCGTAACTCCTGTAGTCTACCGCAGCTGACACAGCCACAATGAGCGCGGGCATCCCGTAGCCGACCAGGTAAAAGTATTTCCTCCGTGAATGTTCACTCTCAAAAACTTCCACCAGCATGATATAGAGCTGCACTCCCTCCAGGAACATCCAGGTGAAAGCCGCCAAGAAGAAGAAATGTAAGAGGGCAGCAAAAACTGCACAAGCAATCTGGGGAAAGGGACACGTGACTTAGTCAAATAACTACCAAGTGAAATATTGTCAACTACCATAACGTTAAAGTAAACATTTATCAAGTCTGCAGTAAGAAAACAAGTCTATGAAAGAACAATTGTGACACGATTCTCAAAATTTAGATATTAAAAAGTAATTTAATATAAACTATCTTGGAAAACTATATTTAATATTTTATTAATAATGGCTATGGATAACTGCAGAGCATTACAATAACTTTAGGAAAAAGTTCTAATAAGAGCCTATTGATAATTATTACTGAGCCTAGTCTAAAAGTTTTGAAATAGATCCCATGAATTTTTTTTCTTGGCCATAATCATGTGTTTACTAAAATTTTAAGTTCTTCAACTGTAAATGAAAGAGGAACATTAAAATTAAGGAGAATAAAAGCGCTTAAAATTAAATAATACAATAATTACAGTATTTTATAGTGAGATTATTAATTCATTATTATTAACTGTTTGTTTATTTCTTCCCTGTCTTGTTTCAGAAAGAAGTTAAGGTGGCACTGGAAAGTTCACATTGCATAGATGTAAAAGTAGATCTGGTTAAAATAAAGTATTCCAAAAGTCCCTTCATTCTCTCATTTTTTGTTATTGTACCAAATGTTGGTCTAGACAAGCTTGGGCAAAACAGGCAGCCAGTCCTTACTTCAGCACATTTTTCTAAGATACTCCAAGTTTCAGCTGACCACATATTAATTTTTTTTTGTCAGTTCCTGGAGTTCTCACTCCTCTGGGTGGTGGGGAGTCTTCATTTTTTTTTTTTTAGTAAGTCCTAACTAACCTTTATAGTTAAAACTAGAAAAAAGTAACAAATGTATAGAAATTATCAGATTAGTATGGATTCAACGATGAGTATGATCCTTGAGAAACGAGACAAAGAGCAGGTCTATTTCCTTGGGTTAGAGAGATGACAGCGAAGGGGAGATGAAGAAGTCAAGTGTCAAAGGGGCTAGAGAGAGAAAGCCATATAAGAGGCAGGAAGACACCCATCCAGCAGTAAGAGTAAAGACAAGTTGGGCTGGGCTGCTCTACCCAAGTTTTTCCTACCAATCATTGTTCTTTATTCTACTACTTGTCAGAAATTGGTTCTGCGCAGTCTGCAATATTTGGTGAAGCTCACCATACCACATGCAACATCAGGAAACAGAAATAAGAATAAGGTTCCTAAATGAAAAGAAATCACAGAGCATTTGAACCACAGGTTAAAAAGAGAATGAAATGATTTCTCCTTAAAAAAAAAAAAAAAAAGAAATGATTTCTCCTTGGAAAATAACAGTTTTCCATTTCTTGCGTTAGAACTTCAGCTATTAATTTTTGTTATCTGAAGGCTTTACTTTTTTGGAGAAAGAATGTGCACTTTGATTGCTTATTCATCTGTAAGCATTTATGGGAAAAGCTGTCACATTTGTATATGATAACCAATTAAAAGTATAATCACCATAATTGTACCCTTTAAAGCCACTAATCATGAATGTGTAATCATAAACATGAATCCAACTGCACATTTATTGTAAAGTACTTTATACATATGGACACATACCAGAGAACAGCATTAAGTGAATGAATTATTTATTATGCTTACAAGTCTTCTAAAAAATTAAAGTTTTCATTTGCGGTTTTAGTCATGAGAACAAACTCGTGCTATCTGCATGAATCTTAAGTAAGTAGAAAGAGCTTCACAAAAATTCTAAGTGGGCATAGAGTCTGTTTACTATATCAGATACTATCTGCCATTAATATTTTCTGTCTGGTTTTACCAAGAACAATTGGCTACTGCTATTCCTTTTTTCCCCTTTTCCCCTCTCCCTTCTCTCTCTCCCTCCCTCCCTCCCTCCCTTTACTGATATGGCTAAATGTAGTTAGTAGTAAAGTGTGAAGTTGGCACTTAAAGATGTGAACAGAACTTGAGAAAATAAAAAGCGTAAAATAAAATTTGGGAAGAGTTTACAAATTATAAAAATGACATACAGTTTGAATGATTTTCCAAAACATGTCAATTAGAAAAACTCACTTTAAAAATGCAGTTTTTAATATAACATCCATTTTTAAAGTATATTATAAACTTCAGAAAATAGCAGTTACATGTTAGACAAGATACTCCTCCATTCCCCAAATGATTTGTTTAGCTTTCCTCAATATTCAGCTCTGTGATTAAAAGTTAAAGAAAAAAATACTAATGAAGAAACAAGTTCTTTAGAAAGGCAAGCTTATGAACAGTTTCTGAAGAAATGTGCATTCATACATCCACAAAGGCATTACTTCTTTATGACAGTGGGACATGAAAAAGGGAAAACTGAGTAAGATCTGAAACTCAGTAACTATCTTAGATGACTTGAAGAGATGATACTTTCAAGTAACAATATTTTGATTGGAAAGCTGAAAGTGAAGACATTTTTTTCTAATGTTAACGTAGGCTGCTTACTGGTTGGTCGGTTCGGTTGATCCCAATCAGGAAGAGCAGTTCTGCTACAAAAAGGCTGATGCAGAGGTTCTTATGGATGGTGTTACGGTCACTCTGGAGCCCACGGAAGAAACAGAATGTGAAGATGCAAATCAGGAGACAAACAAGGGACAGCAAAATTCCAACCCACGTGATCACATCCAGAAGAAGGTCATGGACTGCATCACTGTGCTGGAAACACAACAGAAAAGCTTTAAGTTGCAATTATACGTAACCAACTGCAAAGTTTTATAAGGGCCTGGATTCATGAGGCATGATTTTAATAATGTATTAAATATCCTCCACACGTGCAATAAATAACTTACTTATTTGGGTTTTCTAGTCTACAGGTAGAGCATTTTATCTTTTCTGTGAGTTATAAATCAGTTTGTCAGTAGTGTTTGCACCTTTCTTAGCTGTGTACATTTTCAGTATATAAATAGTTGAAGCAAATCACCTTAATTCTGGTCAAAACTTCAAGGTAAACCTTTTTGTTTCTTTACCCCATATCACTTTCTAAGGTCAATTTTTTGACAACTGCAACTAGGGAATATGCTATTTTTAAAATTAAGCTATATACTTAGGGGAGTGGCATCTCAACTGAAATGCTTTTTGAAGCACTGAGGGATTTTTGTAAAGAATTACAATTCCTCTGTCTTATGAATCCTTTATCAAAATTTTCAAGGTTGAGTTCATATAAGGACCAAATTTTATAAAGATGCTCAGTTAATTCTGATGAACAGCCACAGATGTTATATCACTTATTTAGTGGACAATTTAAAAGAATGGAGATATTCACTGGATTTATATTCATATTGAATGGCTTAAGGAGAGGCCCTTGAAGGGTGCTGCATGAATACAGCCTGTTATACAGAGACAGAAGAAGATAAGCATTCAGAATTTCTATACCCTATAGCAGCATAAAACACACAGGAGAGCTATGGAAAAGAAATATGCTCAGGAAAACTTCTGTCCTGAAACTGCATGTTTTGGTTCTGTTAAAATAGTACTGTGAGTTCCATACCTGCCATGTTCCTTGGTTTGTCCCCTGTCTCATTTCTGTCTTTGTCCTAAGATTCAAAACTCTATTCCTACCCTATGATAGTTTGGCTCCATCTAAAACCACTTCTTTGAGGCTTTAGAATTTATGGTGGCTCAACACATTGGTGCGCCAAGATGTTGTAGCAGAGGTGAGAAATTGGCTATGATTATCAATTCCTCTTTTCTTTCTAGGTTTCTTGAAAAGTCTTAAAGACCTAACTTCCATCAGTAGAAGAATAAATAAATAATGGTTGAATTATGGAATGATCTTCTAAAGAGTAGTAGAAAATCGGTGTTCTAGATTTACAGTCACAAACATGGATACTTCTTAAAAATCTATTTTTAGATTTTTTTAAAGAATGCAAGTGGCAAATATATCTATACAGTATGATCTACTTATGTAAAATTGTAAAAAAACACAAATCAATGACATTGATTTTTAGGTACATAGGCATGAGTAGTAAAAATGTAATGTGTGCAAGGGAGATTTTTTAGTTAAAAACAAAGAGACGTGTTTCTAATTGACATCTTTTCCAACTGTATAGATCACACATGTTGATTTTTGTTTTAGGATGGAAGTTATACTACATACAGTTGTCTTCCACACTGTTAGCTCACCTTAAAAATACATAAATAGCCAGGTTTTCTATTTTTGTTTTTATTCAAACTCTGTGCTTTTATGTTTTATACAAATTCCATACAAAGATTATCCTGAATGTGAAAATTCTTCTCACAAGTGAGCCACCATGCTGTAACCTGATACTGCCAGATGTGACTTCACAGCTGTTATTTGATAAAGAGCTCTGCTAGGACACTGTCAGTGAATCAGTTTTGAAATATTCCTGCATAACTCTACATGTATTTCTCAGAAGGAGCTCAAATCATGAAAGAAAACTACATGAAATTTTGTTTTAACTGCTTTGTTCTCCAGGGGATACTGCTAAAGTAGTGTTGGGTCTCTGATAGCTTAAAATTACTTTTACTAGTGGAGAGTGGAGAGGGTTAGTGCTACCCGGTTCCCTGAACAGAGGGCTATTTGCTCTCCTCTTTGACTCAAAGGAAAGATGCTGTAATTGAGTATCAAGCGCCAACATTCAGCACAGCAGTTTTCCAGAATGGCAAAGTATAATACATTCTCAAATGTATGCTGAAGACCTAAAGCACTAAAAAAAAAAAAAAGGAAAAAAAGAACAGAAAAAAGAAAAAGAAGAATAATCCAAAAAACTGCCTTTTTTGGTAGCTGCATTATTAGAAATTTAGTGAGGGAGGGTATAGCTCAGTGGTAGAGTGCCTGCTTAGCATGCATGAGATCCTGGGTTCAATCCCCAGTACGCCCATTAAAACAAACAAACAAACAAACAAACCTAATCACCTTCTCTACCCCTCCCCCAAAGAAATGTATCTACTTTACTCAGTACCTTTGTAGGCCTTTTAAAAACCCCAGAGTTACTAACAGAAGAACACCAAATGTCAAAACATCAGTACAAAAGGTACATACTGCTCAAACAACAAAACAAAAGGTCTAATGATTAATTAGTAATCACCTTTCAGGTATTATTGTCTAGCTCAGAAAACGTAAACACCAATCACCTTGTATATGCTATACTGTAATCAAATACAACTTATCACTTGAATTTCATCAATAAGATGGAGAAAAAGAACAATGGACATTAATGCCAGTAAGAGTTGTGATGATAGCCTTCTTTTTAATAGTCTGTTATAACCAAACTTTCAGGAGGCCAACCCACGATAAAAACCAAACCCCTGCGAGAGGACGGCCAACTGAATAAAACTCCTAGGTAAAACAAAACAAAACAAAACAAAAAAACTCCTAGGTATAGCTGTAACAATGTGATAATGGATCAAGTATTCCTGTTTTCAAGGTGCCATGTCTGTGATCACTATGTAACTCAATTACCTATGATATAAACATGTGTAACATCATGTGACTTGAGAGCCACTCAATCTTAAATTTTATTAATATCATATCCCAGCTCTTAGTACTGGGCTTGACACATAAAAAATACTAAAGAAATAACTGTGTTTGAATGGTTATAATAATCTTGCTCCACTTAGATCAAATGCTTTAGAGCTGAACCTCTCATGTGGGTATTGCTTTAGTAACTATTTAATCTTTACTGGATTTTATAAAATATCAATGTCAAATATTACATTTCAAAACTGAGCCCCTTATCTTATCCTGTTTCTCTTCCCAAACCCCAAAATCTACTCTTCCTTCTGTTTCTTCATTTCAGTAAACAGCAACTTCATTCTTTGAAGTGTTCTGGCCAGGAACGTAAGAGTCATATTGAATTCTCTCTTTCATACACTACTGTTAATCCATCAAGAAATCTTGTAGGGCCTGTCCTCTATCTGAGAGCTATTTGTCACCTCAATTGCACCAAATTAGTTAGAGCTACCTGATTTTCTTCAATAGCCTCCTAATCAATTTTCCTACTTTGACGCTCATTCTCCTTTCCTCTACATTCAACAAGACTGAGAGATTCTTTCTAAGTATAAGCCAGAAAATAAGACTCACTGATGGAAGTATCCAATGTCTCCCATCTCAATGAAAGTAAAAACCAAAGTCTTTACAAAGCTCTAACGTGCGCACTCCTGTGGAAGCACTTCCTATTCTCCCCCTCATTCAGTTCACTCTGCCCCAGTTGGCCTCCTCTGGTCTTTGAATATGTCAAGCACATTCCAGCCTCAGAGGCTTTGCTTTTGATGTTCCCTCAGTCCAGAATGCTCTTCCAAAAGATAGCTGCGTGGCTTACTTTCTACCCAACTTCAGTACTTCATTCAAATGTCACCCTCTTACAGTTTTTCTGAATCACTCTATCTAAAATTGCGAATGTCATTTACTCTTTCTGACTCTCTATTACTATTCCTGAATTATTTTTCTCTTTAACATTTATCCAGACTATATATTTTATTAACACTTTTTGTTTATTGTCTGTCACCCCTGTCAGAAAGTACATTCCAAGAGAATAAGTTGTTTCATCTCTTCTGATCACCAATGTACCCCTGGGTCCTAGAAAGCTGTCTATCATAGAGTGGATGTACAATTAAGGTGTCAACTGAATCTCTCTTTAATTACTGTGAATTATAAAATGGATTTAGATTATAAACAAAAAATTGTATCATGCTGCCCACCTCAATCTTTGGGACTCTTTGGTTCATAAATCACCTGCTCTAAAGTCTTGAGTAAAAGATAAAGAAAATTAGAGGTGGAGACTGCGAAGGTTGCTATACCATAATGTCTTAAATATGTTGAAACAGCAGATGTCAAACAATTACGACAATGGAGGTAAAACTATGCAGAGGAGTAAGAGGACTGTAGAGTAAGTCTCAGAGTCTAAAGATGTGGCTTTAACCTTGTCACTCCAAATTTGTAATTGTCACCTTGAACAAACCACTTACCCTTCTGAGTATCAGAAACTTCATATACATAGAGATAAAATAAGTGAGGCTTCAGATTATTGTGATGAATAATTAAGACAATATATGTGAAACTATGGAAGTCAATGTTTCTTTGTTATTGGCTACTTTAACCTAAAAACATTTATGGATTTTTTTCATGTTTAAGAACAGACTTCATTTAAATAATCAAAAGTCTGTATGAATGTTACAGGGTTGATTAGAAAAATAATAACTGCAGCAAAAATAAATAAAAATGTTATTTTAACCAGGGACACCAAACATTATTCCAAGCAACTAATGAATTACCTAATTTTGCTTTATAACATAGTCAGCTTAGTTTACACTATTAATAATATTTGTGTTATTGATAAATTAAGGCCACAATATGCCCACAGCATCTGAAGGGGGCAGATTTCAACTTTAGAATCTGAATTCTACCTTCATTATTGTATAATTGTGATTATGACATTTAAATAATAAAACACAGAGGGACTCAATTTCACCTATATATTCTTCCTTAAGTTGTAACAAAAAGACAAATCAGGTAGGAAAGAAAGATATATAAATATATTTATATATATTTCTTTCTTCATATATACTTATATATAAATATATATTTACTAAATTATACAGATTTATGTTCATACATTTATATATTTATTATATTTATATATATATTAATTTTCCCATTGTGTGTACTCCACATAAACTATTTGTTATCAAGAATG